AGAGCTGAGATGCAGTACTTGCAGATGGCACTCAAGAGAGGTTAAACATCTTGCTAATGTACTGACAACTTTTTGGGCCATGCCTTCAGTTTCTATTAAACTAATTGGATGGTCACCCTAATATTCTGTTCCTCTCCATTCTTCATTTTCTCCTGAAGACAAATTAGCCAGTACCACTGGCTGCTGCATCACCAGGCACAACTTTTCAGTCATTCAATACAATGTAGTTACAAGCTGCTCAGATCTGAGATAAGCTTCAAGTCCATCCTCAGAACATAAATGCTTTCAATAGAGGTAGAAGCTAGAAAACACCTGACCTGCTACCCAGGTGAGAAGATAGTGTGCTCCACAACAATTTAGGCTTGCCATATAGTTGTTGCTATGCTTGATATCTCTGATATCTTGATATCGTCTGCTCCCATGAAGTGCAATCAACACTGATAGCTATCCTATGATGCTGTTAAAATTTTCTTATACCTGAGTCCATTTATTAGTTTTGCTTGTTTGCTGTGGGAAAGAAAGAATTGTGTGATCACTTCAGACATCTGCTCACTGCTTTGAAAGCAAAGGTGTCATAATTGTATTTCTATAGCAAGGTGTAAAGGCACATTACTGCTAACTAGAAGTAGCTAAGTTCTCCTGTCCTCAGTAATGTGCGTGTATACTTGAAAAACAGTAAATTCTTTTTTCAAGTATGGGCTTTTTGCAACAATGGAACCCAAATTAATGTGCAGATAACCTCAACAAAGAAAACAGAATACTTTTTAACTCTGATCTTACAGGAAATCTAATTTTTCTTACTACTGTCTTACTGAAACCTAGAAAAGAGCTCTACAGTTAACAGTGCCTCATTGTTCCCAGATATGGTCAAAATGGAAAGACACATTGCAGCAGGTCAGATCTCTGCCTGTCATTCTGTTAAAGTGGAGTATTTCTGCCACTTGTCAGGTATGAAAAGCACAGTAAAAATTTTCAGACCTTCTTTGTAACAATACTGCCTGTCAACATCAGTATGGATGATCTTATGGAAAGATCTAATAGACTCAAAATATCGTGGTTTTGAGCTGTAGATTAGGTAGTCTGTACTATTGTGATCTATTTTTTTGTTTGTTTTCTTCTCTCATTTGTAAATAAAGGATGATAAATCCTTTAGTCTGACAACCTGGTCAGACTAAACTGACTAGATGGCAGTGGATTCAAGTGTAGGGAAGATATGCTCCTAACAGGTATTAATTGGATGGGTATTAATGGTAGTTTTACTTTCATTGCTGCCAAAGTTATGATAGCTCCTTTTCTCAGTAAAAGTGCAAGCATATCCTCTTAGCTTGTATTTTTCAGTGACTTTTTAAAATTAAAGCCCACAGAGGCAGGAAGGTGGATTTAAAAATGACTGAACTGCTGGGCTTAGAGGGTTGTGATCATCAACACAGAGGCCAGCTGGAGGTTATTTGGGGTACCCTGAGGCTACTGGGGCTAATCCTGTTTAACATCTCTCTGAGGGATCTGAAGGTTGTGGGATGGAGTGCAGTCTCAGCAAGTTTGTAGATGATACCAAATTAAGAGGCATGATACACGAAGTAGTTGTGCTATAAGGTTTGGACAGGCTGATGAAGTGAGCAGAGTGGAACCTCATGAAGTTCAACAAAGGGAAGTGCAAAGCCTGAAGAAGAATGACCCCATGCACCAGTACAGTCCGGATAGAGGCTTCCTGGCTGGAAAGCAGCTCTGCAGGGAAGGATCTTGGGGTCCTGGCAGTCAAGCTGACCACAAGTCAGCTGTGCTGTCACAGCAGAGAAGACCACCAGCATCCTGAGCTGTATTGGATTAGCACAGTCACTAGAGGTGACCCTTCCTTTTTACTCTGCAGAGGTGAGACTGCATCTGAGGTGCCATGTACAATTCTGAGCTCACCAGTGTAGGGAAGACATGGGTGTCCTCATGAGAGAATTATCATTATTGCTCTAGAAATACCGAAATGGTTCATACCAACTTAATATTAGCCAGTTAATATCTTTAGTGCTGTCTCCCAAAACTTTAAGAAAAATCTAAAAACTAAGGCAAGACTCTGTAGTTGCCTATTTATTATAATGATGACAGATGCAGTGGAAACCAAATTGTCTTTATGTTAGCATTCAAAAAATAACTTCCCTAGGCAAAAGGAAAAGTAAAATTGCCAGTGCTGACTTAATTTCTCATTCTGGCATATAGGTCGGTACTTCAAGTAAGCCTGGTGCTGACCAGCAGATTTCACTTTTATTTTGAAAGCAGATACATTTTAGTTATTTTCCCTCTAGATGTTCTCTTAATTAATTTGAAATATCCAAAGAGTTAATTAAAAATACAAACTTTATTGGATTCTATATCAAACCTTACATTATGATCTTTTTATCTACAAAGCAAGAATTATGTGGGATCAGAAATCTGAATTATTCATAATGGTTTGCAGCCGTTTTTTTCTCTTCTCCTATATTCAGTGTAAAATCTTATAAGCTTTTCTTTCAGTCAAGGTGAAAGCACTATTAAGTCTCAGAAGTCAAACTTACGAACGACATGTAGCTCTGTGAAATCCTTGCCCTGTAATCCTGGCTTTCTGTTCACCACCACTCTTCAATATCCCACTTTCTGTATAAGCTTCACAATATATCAGCAGTTGATGAGATTTATTTGTTATACTCCTGTTATACTGTTATACTCCTGTTTTCCTTCTTCATAAAAAAGCTTTATTCATCACTTGGCTCCCCTGGGAGTAACACATGTCTGTGATTGTTTCTGCTGGGCTTGCTAATCCAGCAGCTCCCTTCAACATGCTGGACAGTTGGTACAGGGTGGAAATTGAGGGAGGAGGAGAGTTGTACTTGTTAAGATTTAGGACAGCTATGTAGTGTGTAGTGAATTTTAAACACATTGTTAAGATCCAGTTTGATAGTTATGAGCCAACATGGTTGATTGTATGAATAGCAATGCTGTCAGGTCACTTCTGAAAGATGCTTTATGAATTAAAGCTTTACTGTAGTACGTTGGACCTCTCAAAGCTTTAATAAACAGAGTCATTTTGAAGACATGACAACAGATGAGACAAAACTTGAGTCTGATCTATGCTAATGAATCCTACATTTCCTGTTTGCAGTATTGCTCTTGATGCCTCTAATAGTTCCATGTATATTTTTCTTACATATTCTGACTTCATCTGTAGTGATATTTTTCTCTTAAATAAACACATTTCTGAATAGAAATGTAAAAGCTTTCTTATTTGTTGTTAAGGTTAAAATCACAATTGTTGTTCTTAAATAATTATTTTGCCTCTAAGGTGAACCTGCCTTTAAGGTGAAATTGAAACATACAGGGAGTTCAGTATGCGAATAGCATGCACACCAGATGATCTGAAGGAAGCCTGCATATTTCCACAGAAAAAAAATGTGAATATAGGAAAGCAGATGCTTTCTACCAACAGAGTGTACATACAGTTCTCAAGAGCACCTGAACAATTTATTTTCAGGCTGCTGGAAGTACACAAATTCCTACAGAATTAAATGTGAATTTGAAAGAAATGGCATCCATTAAGGACAACACTACCCAAAGAAGCAATTGGGAACTTAATAATTTAATCAAGAACTTGAGCAGACTCAGCAGTATATCTAAAGCCAGTGACTCAAATGTAGTCTGTTTTTAATGAAGATATAAGTGGTTATGTTGTCTTTTAAAGTGCAGCGTTTGGAATGTTTTTCTGTGATCATGGAGTAAATTTGTATGATTATGTATAGATTCTCAGATGATTCTCCATCAAAAAGCATCATTCTGTTTGCTTGAGCTGCTTGTAGGACATATGCTACGATAATACTTGTGTGTATTACCAGCATTGTTTGCTGTTTTTAACCCAGCAAGCATGGGTAGAATGGATTATGTCCTGAATCCATGCAATCACCACAATTATAAATTAAATTCTTACTGGTGGATGTTGTTCCATTTGATGGCTATGGGACTGGATGGATGTTTGTGAGATTATAATCTGAAGGAGAGGGCACAGTTTTGCACAAGTGGCTCTCCTGGTGAGCCAGCTGCCAGTTGTGTAGACATGGAAAGTGTGTGTTTTCCTTCCTTATGCAAAAGTGCAGCATTCCTGGAGTGGCAGGAGCACACAGGATGGCAGAGTTCAGGCTTGCCAGACAGTACTGCCTCCACTGTTCCCCATTACCATCAGAGAATCCAGCTGCTGAGTTCATCCTGCTGCCCTTTTGTCTCTTAGCAATTCCACTTAATGACTGTTTGTACGGAGAGATGCCCATGTGAGGTCAGCGAGGCAGGAGATGTTGCTTAGTGGAATGCGCAACATAACATTTAGTTGCAGTTTTGACAAAACATTGTAAGGTCAGATGTATCCATTTAGATGCACTGGAAATAACAAGTTTTCAGGCCTTTTGAAACCTGTCAAAAGGCAATAAAGGTCACTGCTTATAACTTTGGGAATTTAACTTTAGACATTCATACATGAAAAGGCTTGGCCAGGCCAGGTAGGGAACTCCCTGGACAACTTGGAGCCTACCCAGCCCTGCTGTGCTGGTACAGGTTAATAAACACAGTGAGTGGCTGGACTGTCTCCTGCACCTCTCCTACATTCCACAAACAAGGAATGAAGTAAACAGGAGTTTACATTGGGTAGATACAGTGTTACTTCATTTCAAAGCAGAAATACTTGAACGGGTAACTAAAATTAACCTGGTCAGCAGGGTGGTCACTGTGACCACAAGAGTGAATTTGCCAGGTAAGGTCATCTCTGCAAGCAGAGTCTTCTCAACCTCATGCGTTACTCTTTGTTGTACTCTGCCCATGTGTTTGAAAAACACAAATGACTGCATCTTGTCTGTAATGACACAGATCTAGAATTTTCATGCTGCCCATGGATTGAACATGGAAGATTATCAAAATGTTCATTCTCTGTCTCTTTTCCACTGGTTAAGAGTCATCTTACAACTGAATAATATGTAATGTTTTTCTCCACACAGGTTGTAGTCCTTGGCAAACATTCTAGAGGCTATCACTACATGTTAGCTAACCTGGTAAGAATTTTTCTTCACGGAAAGTATACATTTTACATTTTAGCTACATTTTAGAGGGTAAAATATTCTGTTCAGGTTGTGGAAACTTTAATCAGGAAGTGGAAATGCATGGATGAGTACTTGAATTTTGAGAAATTACTTCAGTAAATACTATAACTGGTATGTCATCTCTACTCAGTTTCTTTTGTCAGAAAATGTAAATTCCTCTACTAATTTCAAAGTAATAATTTAATTATATATTTTCCAGTAATTTCTGTCCTCATAAATGAGATACTCATGACTGTGATTTCCTATATAACATATTTTGAATTTAAACACTCCAGGAAAAATAATTGTAGCATATTTCTGTGTAAGTGGTAAAAAGCTGCAAATTAGAATAATTCTATGAAGTAAATCACCAAGACTTTTTAGCTTTCCTTTTGTATTTCAGAGTGTAGGGTTGTGCCTGTGTATGTGCTGACCTACCAGGAAGAGGCCATACATTTCTGTTTCTATCAGAGCGTCTTCTGTAGAGTAGGATTGACTTTCAGGATGTTTGTGATGCTTTTGAAGCACCATCTACTTAAGCTCCTTATAAAAAGTCTTGTCTTGTAATTAGTTTTGCAGGAATACTCATTTTAAGGTTCTATGTCTACTGTGAGTAGAAAAATGTGAGTTTTTCCAAAACTCTTACTTTCTGGTTGGCAATCCTAATACTCAAAGGTTCTCTGTTATCCATGTTTTGGTGTGATTAAAGCAGGAAAGACAAATTTTTAAATATCCTTATTTAGTATAAGTACTGTATGACTTTAAGATGCATCGTTTTGCATTATAAGAAGCAGTCATGATCTCACTGATTAGCTTGTGCATAGAAATACAGAGGTTCTTATTCTGGGTTGCCTTTTAGTTTGTGTAACCATTGACATTCAGATCAACATGACTGCAATCAAATCATACTAATCAAAAAGACTCCAATTTACTGCCTCAGGTATAAATAACAACAGAGTGGGAGAGAATCATCCCATTCTGCTTGCACGTGACATGCTGAGTGATGCTGTGATGGAGAACTGCCTAGCAAGAGATTGAGTGGTTTTCTTCCCCAGCCCTGAACCTCTGTGTTCTCTTTGCTATACAAATGGGATTTGAGGTCCTTGACCAGTTTTCACCATGATTAGGACAAAAGAGGAAACGGTACTTCAAGTTTCCCTGCTATTTTCTTTCTGAATGGCAAATATTACCGACCACATTGCCACAACCCAAAAGGGAAGTTTTCTATTGAAAAGAACAAGATGTTTTAAATTCTATTCTATGCCACTATCAAAATCCTAATTGTGATAGCAGTTGTCTCTGGTTGAACATTTTCCACTAACAAGAGGGACATTAAGTGGTGTCTTTTATGCTGCACTTGTAGCAGGTAAAACTGAGCCAGAGGAAAGTGGCTTTGGATGACAATGATTTTTTTTTTCCTATGTGTGTCCTCCCAGGGTTTCACAGACATTGTTCTGGAGAGAGTAATGCATGGAGGTGCCAACATTACTGGATTCCAGATTGTTAATAATGAAAACCCAATGGTTCAACAGTTTCTACAGCGTTGGATGCGGCTTGATGAAAGGGAATTCCCTGAAGCCAAAAACTCACCATTAAAGGTATTTATTTTAACTTGTCAGTGATGGACATTATATTCTTTTAATAATTCTTTGGGAGTTTTTAATCTCAGATACATGTGCATGAGTATGATACAGATCTCTGATGAGAATATGTTGCAACATTTACCACCCTTCCAGAAGAAAGAGGCATAGGCTGTTACAAGTGCTCACCATGGTGGGAGCTCCTCAGAAGCGAAGGCTTGGTCTTGCAAATCCTGTCACTGTGCAGTGGATATAAAAACATCTAACATGAAGATCTTGAATTAGTCTAGGGCTGGATATAGGGACTAGTTAGGTTAGGTTTTAGATGCAAAATGTGGATTACTAGTTCATTTTAATGGTAATAAAGAATTTCACATGCAAACTGAAGTAGCTCTGGATTCTCTAAGGAGCCACTGCCACTTCCCAGTTACTGCTGGCAGTTACCCTCATAATCTAACCCTCTGTTCTGCACCACTATCCTTTATTTAAACAGTCTGGCTATTATGATTGAAACCAATAAAATTTTTCAAAATTTTTTTGGATAGAAGTCCCAGGTTCACCAAAACTGCCACAGATTAAATGAAGTGAATGCTCCTGTTATTAGGAATCTTGCAACTTGTTACTATCTCACCCAGATATTTTTCTGCCTCAGCATCTCTATCATAGAGGGAGATGCTATTCACTGTCCAGTGAAGGAGTGCATCAGGGAATCTCTGTCCAGGCACAGAAGTCATAAAATCTTCTAGGACTACTGCATATTAGTAATACTCCTATTACGTTCCTCTTTTGGTAAGATCTGTTCTTTTTCACTGCTATCCATAGTTGAATGAAATCTGGGTAAGGTAATATACAGACTGGTTTCTCAGGGCAGTGAAACCTAAAACCTACTGCCCTGATGAGACAACTCATGTTTTTCATGTTTGATTTGGGAAGGACCCATGCAAAAGGGAGCTGGGGTTGTTTAGCCTGGAGCAAAGGAGTCTCAGAGGTGACCTTATCACTCTCTACAACTCCCTGAAAGGAGGTTGTAGCCAGGCGGGGCTTGATCTTTTTCATCAGGCAGCAACTGACAGAACGAGAGGACAGTCTCAAGCTGTGACAGGAGAAATGTAGGTTGGATGTTATTTACGGAAAGAGTGATAAACTAATGGAATGATCTGCCTGGGGAGGTGGTGGAGTCATGATCCCTGGATATGTTTAAAGAAAAGACTGGATGTGGCACTTGGTGCCATGATCTAGTTGAGGTGTTAGGGCATGGGTTTGTCTCGATAATCTTGAAGATCTCTTCCAACCTAGTCATTCTGTGAATTCTGTGAAATTGATGGAAAAAATTTGGAATTCAAAATTACTTGGATAAACTGGAATAATGTCTTGATATGAGTAAGACAAAATTCAGGAAAGCATTAAAATACTAGATAGGAAGGAAAAATCTAGTCCGGTTCCATTCATGGGTGGCACCGGGGTCAGCAGTAGCACTGCGTTGGGCTGCAGACAGAATAGAAGCCACTTACAAGGGTCTGCTCTTCCTAGCAGTGCCATTTGAAGAGATACTTTTCCATACCTGGGATCATGTCATTTCTGTGAGGGAGGAAAATTTCCTTAATCCCATGCCATCCCACAGCTTTGCTGGCATTTCAGAGGAAGCAGAGAAAGGCAAACAGAGGCCCGCAAAAACCTGATTAGTGTATTGTTGCCTGGATTAGGACTTAGTCCTGCTTTCTAAAGCTTTCTAGCAGAGATGCAGAAGTGAAGATAAGTATCATACTAATTTTAAAAGCTCTGAAATATACAAAGTTAACCTGAGATGATATTATTCCACTTGAAAGCAATTTACCTTGAGGAAAAAATTATTCTTCCTCCTTAAAAAGAATCTTAAGTATATGGTAGAAACACAAAGATTACATTACCTTTCCACAAATGTACATCTCATTATAGAAATGTGCACAGTATTTGTCAATCAGACAAAAAGCATACTTAAAAATTGATGTACAATATTTTTGATTAGGAAATAAAATTGCCTAGAGATTAAAGTCCTGATGTTTAATTTATTCTGTATTTTATCAGCCTTTCCCTTCTTTCTCTCTTTTTTCTCTTTGCATGCTCATGCATTTATAAGTAGAATTCAAATAAAGTAGAAAATTAGATAGCTCTCTTGGCATGACTTGGAAGGGACTGCATTAAGGTTACTGACAATTGACGCAGTCTGCTGAAAAAACTATCAATGTGTAAGTTTTATGTAGTGCTAGATTGGACAGCTATTACAAGAGTTTTTTTTAATACAGGAACAAATACCTTAAAACTACTGTCCAGTTCTGTATTACTGTGTGGATTGTGATGTATAACCTTTAACTTTCTAAAAGAGGAGAGAGTGACTATTGCAAAGCATCACAGGGAGAGGTAAAGGTGGGCAAGATCAGAAGAGTGCTGTACATTCAGAGCAGGAACCACCACCCACTCCCAGTAAGTTTATAAGCTGCTATCATTTAAAGCTCAGTGAGATGTCCACTCTATAACCTTCTTCACAGCCCTGCCTTTGCACTCTTTTTTATCAGACGCAATTCTCTTGATCTGCACATGCAGACACACCTTGTTTTGTGCAGAGTTCCTATGGCTTGATAGCAAACTGAAGAAATTGCAGTAAAATACTCAGTTTTAAGAAGTGCAGAGCCTCCAATTGTGCTATCCTGCCCTACAGGATAGAATTAATTTCTGAATATAATAAATCTTATCTACAAAGAGAGTAGCTGAACAAGCACCTGAAACTTGGATTTCTACCTTTATAACTCACACATGGGCAGTGGATCTTGTGGCCTGAATTCCAGCATGAGCTTCCTCAGGAGGCATGATCTCTATGGGAACATAGACAGCCAAAGAGGGGCCAGGTACACGTTCCATTCTTCATTTCTTCCTTTGTTCTCTTAAAAATGATGCGAAGTTATTGAGGATCACTTACAAGGGACTTGAAATCTGCTCTTATAGACTGAGCATGTTCAATTTCTCCCAGTAGGTCCATGCTGAGAGGGTCTCCTTTACACAGACCCTGAAATTACAGGTGTGCTGTAATGCCAGTGGAACCCAGGGATGTCATATACAAAGCCCAGGCCACTCTAGGAGGGAAGAACTTTCAGAAAGCAGATACATGTGGAAAAAAATATGAAAAAACCCCTCTGTGATGCCATTTGCTAGGTGATACTACATTTATAGCATTGGGGGGGGGGGGGGGGGTGTCACCAGATAACATGCGACGAGCAGTGAATTAAGTTGACAGCAACAGGAATGCATAAGTTAAGTTTTCTGGGGGTTTTGTTCAACAGCTGCTGCTGCTACACAGAGCTTACCATCCTCTGCAGATTTATAATGGAGTAAGGGAAGGCAGATAGGGAATTAGCAAGGTGATGTAATGCTGAAAATGTATCTTGTGATTATTTGCTTGTATAGCTCTTTTCTAAGAAAAGTAATCTTATTCCTTGCTACAGTTGCTACCTAATCAGGATTGTGATCCAAACAGAAATGATTTATGTTAACTTCAAGTCAAAGCTCTTTTGGCAATCTTATTAAAAACAACAACAAAAAACCCTAAAGCAAAAACTCAAATATAAGCTTCCCTTTGATATCAATATGGTCCAGCATGGAATTGCAGACTTTTATAGTAAGCTCATCTAGATGAGCAAGTTTCCAATTAAATTGAAATTTTATGCAACTATGAACTGGTATTGTTATTTTGCTGCTATATGCTATATAGAATGCAAATATTTTTAATTTGCTAATTGAAATAGATGGAATTGTTACAAAGCACCAGCTGAAAGACAGAGAGCAAGCAAAGGGGTCTGCAAGCACAATTCTTCTGTTCTAACAAAGAGGAGAACTTGATGTGATAACCTGAGGCAAATCTAAAATTGCAGTTTGTCACCATATTTACTTTGTATCAATTGCAGTACACATCTGCACTGACCCATGATGCAGTCCTGGTCATAGCAGAGGCTTTCCGGTACCTCCGAAGGCAGCGTGTTGATGTCTCCAGGAGAGGCAGTGCTGGAGACTGCCTGGCTAATCCTGCAGTGCCATGGAGCCAAGGAATTGATATAGAAAGAGCACTTAAAATGGTAAGGGCAAAGATAACAGCTAAAGAGAAAAAGCAGTAATTTTGTAGTGCTTATGTCCTGCTTCTGTACTCACACAAGCAGCTGAAGCTCCTCAGGGGAAACAAAGTAAAAACAAAATTAATGATGAATTTCAAAGGATGGATAAAATATATTCAGTAGAGGACAAGACGTAACATACTAGCTCTCAAAACTTTGGCCAGAGTCCTTCTTACACTGATTCAGTGGCTTCCTGATTGTACTCACGAGAGCACCTACAATCCCAGATCCCCTGTAACACCCCAGCTTCCCAGGAGAGTGAGAATGAGCCATTTTGCAGTCAAACGTGTATTAGGGTTTTCTAATGTCAGGCTGATCCTGCAAATCTGAGTAACAGAACTAGATTGGGTCTTTGGCACATGTGTTATAATTCTTGCAGGGATAGATGTATTTATGAACTTAAATGCATGGGAGCAGTTTTGATAATTTTCCAGTAAAAAATCAACTCGGCTTGGTTTAAAACAGTGGGGAAATTGTTGTTTGTCATAGCAGTCCTCATAGATCTCAGCACCAGCCTGAACCTAGGAACAGTTTAGCCTCCAACCAGTTCTAATTCCTGGCATAACTTTGCCCTCAGCCAGATTACCTTCTGCATAGCCAAATTTTTATCCCTAACACTAGTTATGGCATGGGATCCTACCTCACTTGTGTCTCTAATTTTATTGATTCTTAACTATTTTAAGTCTGCTATTTGTGTTAAAGCAAGTGACAGCAGGAAAAATTGGATAATGTTTTTGTAGATACAAAAGACAAGATTGCTTGTTTTAATCTGGCACAAATAACTCTCAAACCTGTTACCATTGATCATATTAATGCAGACATAGAACTGAAGTGAGTGAGATCAGAATTAAGCCTGTATTAGGTGTAAACAAATCCTAGGTCAGTCTTCATATACTTAGCTTAATTAGTGCTTTTTCTCAGCTACCAAAATGGAAGGATTATATCAGAATATTACAATGAGTTGTGGATGGTTATAATCAGATTATGTCACTCTTAAAACTGAGGTGGTTTAGTCTCACATTAGAAGAGCGAGAACTCTTTTTTAATTTTTTTTTTTTTTTATGCCATTTTTACTTCCTAACATGTGCCTTAACTGCACATTCATTAGTGTAGCATTACACACTTTTGAAGAGAAATAACTAAATTCAGTCTTCACAATAGTTAAAGAATTTGTACTGTACTCATAAACAAGGTATTCATGTCAATAGAGAAAACCAACACTGCAATAGTATACTCCCTTATTTAGGAGAATTTATTTTAAAAACATATTAGAAAGATATAAAAAGGCACGATTGGCAAAAAAATGCAGTAGTTTGACTTCTAGATGATTGTCTTGAACTTTTTTTAGGTATTCAGAGTAATGTGGGTGAAGTTTATATACACCTCCAATGAGAGCTACCCAAGATCATACCACATAGCCTTCCACTACCCATCCTGTCCATCACCTTCTCTTCTTCTATTCAGATATGATCTTGAATCTTTGCTCAGGAAAAAAACACCATCGATTTAATAATAATTTTTCCTCTCCATTCTGTAGCATCAACTCAGATAAGAATGCTTTTTCCAAGGTATCCTTGAAATATCTGTCCTGTGCCAGCAGAAGGTCCAGTGCCTCACTATAGTGATAGCTAGGCATTATTTGAAACTTCTTTCCAACAGCCTTGAAAATTTTGTTTCTGAAGCTGGTTCTAATACATCAGGTCAGTGGCAGACAGTTTACCTGAACATGTTTGGACACATAAACAATGACTCTGCGATTGCCTCCACACGCTGCCACCAAAAATGTTTGAGTCCTGGCAAGCCTTCCTGCCTCAGTGCAGCCAGGCACTCAGACACCTTTACAAAGTGCTGAGTTTCCCCACCAAAGATAGAAACAAATTAAATTGGAAGCCAAAAGGTGCACAAAGTGATGTCCAGAGCATGAAGCTTATGTCTCAATGGGCATCAGGATGGAGCCAGTGTAACAAGCTCTGTGAGACACCCAGTTACTGCTGTGCTAAAGTAGCCAGACAGCTTCCAGTAAATGCCAAAGGCAAGCTCAGCAACTCACATCTGGTTGCAACTTATGTGTCAACTACCCTACAAATACATTTGCTCAGTCCACAGTTGATAAGACCTCTTGGGGTCAATTTGGTTTTCAAAGTGGAATTCATCTCTCTTGCTTTCTGGAGATAGGAAAACCTCAGATTTTTTCCAGCCCCCATAATCATAAAAACAATTTTAAAGAAGGTTTGAATCCACTTACCAATAAAAGGGAATTCCCTATATGTCAGTGTGAATAATAATAATTTGAGGATATTCAAATTTGAATGAATTTGAGGATAATTTGAGGTCCATGTAATTTTTGTTTTATATAGCCTCACACCTCATCTCTAAACAGTGAACAGCAGATCAGTCACCACCCCTGAACAGTTTGCCTTTGACTAGTCTAGCATCACCTCTTCCTGTAACTTCTACAGTTTTTGCTAAATATTAAAGCTAATTCGCCCCTACTGAAGTTTGCAACTGTTACCTTTTCTGCCTGAGATGACAGCTTGTCAGAGCTGATAAGTGATAAATGAAAATACCTCATCCTTTCATACAGGGAATTAAGAAAGGCGCTTTTTTTGAGACAAAGTACTTTATACTTCCCTTTCAGATGATTCATGTGAGTAGGTAATGGTAATGATTTACTGTCTGTACACCCATCCATCCTGACTGAGACCAAAACTCCATAACCAGTAGAGGCAATTGTCTGTGCTCATTCAGAGAAGACATTTGTTCCTTTCTCCTACACTAGGACTGATCTTAAAATAAAGTACTTCCCAGAGTGAGCAATGATATGCCATTCTGGTCTGTACTGCAGATCACTCTGTGCCATGTTGTGAGGGGTTTAACTGCACTAATTGTTGCTTGTGCCTCGCTGATGCTCC